TATATAACTGTTGCTATGCTGTTAAGTAGAAATCTTGCGCACTCGCAATTTGGTAATGAGCGCCATGAACGGACCTAGTCGCTACCAACAAAATGCCCCCCCCCCCATAGAGCTCTTTTCAATTGATGAGGGGGTGCCTCTGCCATAAGGCGGATATTCCCCTTCCCTTCCGGTCAAGTTGAATTTTGATATCCCAGCTGTGCCATGTTCTGCATTCGACTTCCGGTATTGGAGGTAAAAGGCAGTTCTCACTGTATCCCTGCCTTGGCTTTAAATCATAAAAACGATCAGAAATAACGATTATGAATGGTTGAATACATTCAGGTGCAACGTCTTGTAGTATGCGATGAAAAATAAGAGCAAATGCCATACAAAGTATCGATAGTAAAAATATTATGAAGAAGGCGTTCTGGGGGACGTCCCCTTCGCCAGAAACATACGGGTGAACAGGGGACATGAGCCCCATCCCTTAGGGTCGCCCAACCTGAGATGTTGCTGATGGTGATGAAAGGTACAGGGCAAAAATTCCTGCCTGATAATTCTTCACTCGACTTCACAGAGCGAGGCGTAACCATTCTTTCTGGAAAGCATTGGGAAGGGGATATACCGAAGGGGAAAGTGTAGGAGGTATAGGCTGAAGTTGGTTTTGAATGATATGTTATCACTCTTTTTTGTTGGTGAGTTATGACAGTAACCCTACCCACCTCGGCTCACCCCCATCTTTGCCCCCGCTTCGGCCCGACACATCTCGGCTCTTTCTGCGCTACTGTATGCGCTATACACGTTCGTCTTCAGTTGTTTTTCCTATTATGAGAGAATCGACCAATATAAATAGCGCCTACCTTTTATTTGATTCTTGTTGACAATGCGCTTTTCAAAGGTCGAGAGTCGAGAGAACACGTTTATGTTGTACTTCTTGAGACAAGAAAATAAAATTCTTTGAAACTTTACATCCCGTCAGAAACTTATTGTTGGGAGCTTCAACAGGTGTAAATTTTGTTTGGAATGGTATGCTATCTAGTGGTTTTTTACAAATGTTTAGTCCCATGCCGGTGGCGAAGAAGTTGCCCCTTTTTGCCTCTAAATGTTTCTTCTTATCCATTCCTTATTTCAAATTGAATAAAATGTTCCTTGAAGGAGTTTTGAAAGAGGATAAATATCTCCATATACACACTTTAATTCCATGTCCAGATTTATCACAATCGATCCTGAATCGTAGCAGATTGTACCTTTCCGGGCGGGATTCTATAGCTAATTAAATTTCCTTTTGCTTGAGGTGTGCGGAGCGCCGATCGATTCCAGCTCGTTTGTTAGAATGGTGTTTT